TTGTCACTCTCGTTGATTTTGTTCACATAACTTTTTCTATTAACAAATGCTTTTGGCTTGTTGGTGTTGCTAATATTTGAATTTTGATTAGCTTCATTTGCCAAAGCATGCACAGTGGACCATAGTACCTTGAGATGGGAGCTAATGTTGTTTCGCAACTCCACTGGAAATTCTCCAATTGGTTTTTTTTTAGCGCAATAAACTTCTCCATATTCCTCTTTTACCACCAGTGGATACCGAGTTGAATACTTGTTGAAGTGGAGATTCGAAAATTATTCGGAAGATTTCTATTCGTGTGTCCGCTAAAGTTGTTGAACAATGTTGAGGTCAACATGAGCTTCATTTGCTTATATGTTATATAGCCATTTGGATTGTATAATGGTTAAAGGTTAGGTTAGGTTAGTCTGATAGGCAAATAAGCTACGCTTAGATTAGTTTTGGTCCTTAGCGATGCCAGATGAAGTGACGTCATGCAATCCATGAGAAGTAGTCATCCTATAGGGTGCCGCGCTTGACGCGAATTTCAATAGGATCTGTGGCCTGTGAATCATATAGTGGGGCACTCAAATGTTTCAACGAAGGATAAGCCATTAGCCATTAGTAGCCATTTTGCATTTCAAGAGGCATTCCAAACATGTTCTTACAGTGCTTTCTATCGACTGCCAGTGTTTTCTATCAACTCTGTGTATTTCTGATATACGTTTTTACACCTGATTTTTGCAGGTTTGCACCCCGCTAGATCGATCCATCGCGTTTTGGTAATCCTTGACATGCTAATGCCTAGATCGTCGCTTGTTTCTGGTGACACTCTCCACTGCCGCCCTGCTACTCTAGTCGATATTCGAGACGAGGTTGTTGTATTGCTTGCTTGTATTGCTATGGTGTTGCCTGTCAATAGATTTTAATAAGATTTCAAATGTGATTTTTAAATTGATGTTTCAGGTAATATATCGATTTCGTTGGTTTGACATGAACTGGACAAAAAATTATATATGTTTTGGTAATCTCATTTCTTTTTAAAGAAAACGATATAACAGATGGTTATCGTTTTCCAATAGTTGGCTGATTATCTATGCTCGAACAAATCTTGAGTATACTCTCCATACCGCGGCATAAAATAGACCTATGTAATACAGATTAGTTGAAAAGTTTCCGCGCTCGAAATGAAAAAAATACTGCTTTTGGTACGAAATATATTTTTTAACCAATATAATCGCCCTTAACTTTATACATTTATTCCAATTATCCTCCAATAAAGGCTGCAATAGTTTTCAAAGTTGATTGTTTTACCTTTCTGCCGATAATCAATCAACAAAATTCCTTTTGCATCCCAAAAAACTGATGCCATAACCTTCTTTGGTAATCGTTGTGACTTCACCTGCTTTCTGAAGAAATCGGTTTTATTCTGCAAAAAACGCTCCAAATTATGCTGAGAAATTTGTTTTCGATCCAGTCTTGTTGAATTGTTAACTAACTTTCTAAGCAACTTTTTCATATGTATTCGTCTGAGAACACAAAGAAACTAATCACCGCGCATATAAATTTTTTTTCATATTAACAATATTTTCTCATATATCAACTTCAAATGGCTTGTAAACAGATAATTAATTGACAAAATTTGAAGCTAGTAGTGCTATTTCTTGGTGAGAGCAGAAAAATTTCAACTCATTCGAACTAGTCAGTTCCTGCAAAAAAAATGGTTTAGGCTCTGACGACGAAAAGTGAAGATACTGACCGGACACCAATATTTTCACTTTTAACTCGCTCTTAATTATTTTTATGGCATTTCTTTGAAAAGTTAATTGCACGTCACCTATCTTCGGTCCATGGGCGAGCTCAAGGCAAACTTTCATGTCGAAGTCTTTGCCATACCGCCTGAGATACTCACAATGTTAAGGTACAAAGGCTATCACTTGATGGATCTTGTATGCAAAAAGTATCCAAATAAAATAAAAGGAAGTTTTCTTTTAATATTTTCATGCCGTTATAAAATATGACATTGCATATTTGAGTTCAAATATTTTCATATATAATCAAAATTTCATCAACTTAGTTGCACTGTACGGAATCTGTGCTGTCGAATTATTGCGCCAACCGGTGCAACAACATTTGTGATTTATGAGGTACTTGACCATTGGTCACTAAGTCAATGCGTGCATTAGACACTTGGTGGTGTTTCTTTTTACCCAAATCGCTTTGTTTGTATGTATTGACATATGCAAATATGTATGTTGCAAAAGCATATTAACCCATTGCAAAAAGCCATTGAAGCATTAAAATGAGGGTGTCTGCTGTCCACTGCCCGATTATGTGATATAATGCCATTAAGTCATCAATTCGAAGAATTCAAGCCCACTAATGATAAAATATCAATAATTGTATGAATATATTAGAGATGGAAGTGAAAGTGAATAGTTCTGATAACGTTAATCCCGACTTTATTCAAATTGGATCGTGGTTGCAGATAATTGATATTGAAAAAATTTCTTATTTAGTTCTGTATACAAAATTTAAATATTTAAGAGCACAATATAATTAAGTAAACATGATTTTCTCTCTTATCAAATATTGCGTCATAATCACCAGAGAAATTTATCTTATCTTCTAAACGTTTTCGTACACGATTACTGTCAAAATTCGGCCGAATTGGGCTCACAGCTTTGTTTTGACGCAAGTGGAACCACACGTCCCCGTGGATTTAAGAAAATTGAAATTGATTTGTTGTTGAGAAGAAAATGGTAATATCGGTCGGCAATTCGATAGATAGCGCGCAGTGAAATCAAAGAGCGCGGAATACGGCGACATTATTTTTTGGATTGTGACCCTCAAAAGTGGTTTAACGAGTTTTCAATTGGCGGGACATCGGGTTTTGCGGAAGGAAAACATCAATTGAAGATCTTCGAGAAAGCTTAGGCATCATATCATGAGATCGAGGGTGTCACATCCTTCATGAATTATTGCACATAAGATAGCTGCCGGCGTGATGGGTGCCACGTTTGCTCTACAGGCAGCAATCGTAATCGTGAGACCATTTCAAAGCCATTTCCCAGCAATGAATTACGCAGCTTAAGCGCAATCTCATGGAGAATGTTTTATCGTTCGAAAATATTTCTATGTCAAATTATTAGGTCGACTCCAATTTGCCAAAAAATGATCTTCCAAACCGGTCAAATTAGGGTACGACCTGCTCCTGCATCCCCCGAATTCTCCAGAAGCCCGACTTCGATTATTTACATATCTGATAAAGTAACTCGTCGGTAAGAAATTTAGCTTGAATGCGGAGGAGTCCACTATAGACCACTATAAATAATATTTTTCAGATGCCTTAAAGAAGTTGGTCCACCATGCTAAAAGGGATTATGTTAAAAAATAAATCGCAATTTTTCTAAATTCCATTTCCTTTTGTAGGTTAATTACTTGTCGGACCGCCTTTGTATGCAGTTATTTAAAATTTCCTGAGGTTATATTTATCAGCAAATGGAAAAGCCTTTTTGTACCGTTCTTACGTTTCTATATTTATAAAGCCCTTTCAAAAACCTCTCCCAAGTCCCGTGGGTCCCAATGATACGCGCACATCTCTAGTATGTATAGATATGATCATCATAATCTGTCGACATTGTTAATATTTGTGTATTGGACCCTCACGACATCTTGGACAGAATATAATAGCTCTGTTGAACCAACTTTTCTTTTAATAAATTATAGCAGGAATGAAAATGTTTGGGTTATGATACGGATATTGGTCCATCTGAAATTCAACGCGATAACTGAAGTAAATTTTGAAATATTAAGATAACTTTTTTGGTATTGTGTAAAATCGTACTTTTGACATGCCCCCAAATGGGTTAAAACAAAAAATTACTCAGCAAATGATTACTCTATAAAAGTCAATTGCCGTCGAGGTTACAATGAAGAGAATCATGTGTAGTTTGAAAAGTAGGCAGATACGACCGGCTACTTAAAGATCTACTTAGAAATGGACAATCGGCGTTGCATTTCTGACTTGTAGAAGAAATTTGATATCTCTCAAACTATTTAAAGGATTCGAGCAGTTTACTAAACGGGGCACGTTGTCCAAGTTCAACGTCTACTTCCCTCCATATACAGAATATGAGGAGGTTCTACACTCTCCGTGTTAACTTTATATCGTATACACCGGTCATGAAATTATTCATTATGAAAGATTTCTTAGATAAATTAGATTGGGAACGCTTTATTGAGTGCAGTGAGACTTGGTGCCATTAATTGAGATAATCAGATCAGATCTCCACATATACGCACCGCATAATGATTTTCGTATCTTCAACTTACTTAAGGTGTTCCCTTCCTAAGCATCTAATGTTCAGTTGCGTTCGAAGTTGGTCCCTCCTTATATGTTATCTTTTTTAATTGCTCAACAGGTAAGATAATAATAAATGAACGGTTTTTGTGGCGTGGCAGCTCGTCAGCATTGCCACCGACAACTAATTGGATGGAGTTGAAAAAAGTGCAAAAGTCACACTCAAACATTATTATTTTTGAGTCGCGCGACATGGTGCTTTCAAATATTTTTTCCATACGGCCAACTAATATCCGCTGAGCGGTATTTGCATATGCGACGCAGTTTTATGGCAACTTTTAGCAATTTTATTTTCGAAACAGTTTAAGCCTCGAACCCATATGCGTGTGTGTGTTGGGCGGAATGTTTATTGGCATGGCGTAGCCGAATTTACAAAGATTCATTAAAAGTGAATCTTAACGGAAATTGCCTTAAAAAATGAACGAAACTGCCAAATCGAATGATGGTGTTGGAAACGTGCGTAGATTCTTACTCGGCGCGGATGACACAAGCGCTTCATTTTTATGTGTCTAATGCACTATATATTGCCATGTTAAGCCAATTTACGATTTATGCTGAAAATGGGTGCCGTAAATTAGAAAATACTTTTTTCCCAGGGAATTTCATGACTTACACAATTTCGAGTATAAAATGGGAATCTTTATGTTCAAATTCTACAGTTGCGTCAAAGCATCATTAGCGTTTGCATCCTTAACGAGTGGAGGAACCTAACGAATTTCAGAAAAATGAGCAGTCTAGTTAAAGTATACCGTTATAAATCTTACAAGTATATAATTTTATTCAATTTTCTCAATCTCTTATTATATTTTGACACAGTTCCAACTCATAGGCGTCATTGCTTTGTTCTTCCTCACCTTGGCGGCAGCCCAGCAGAACTCACTGACACCGAGCGCGATCATCAACCCTTCACGTTTTGATGCACGCGGTCGCTTAAATCCCTATTATAATGATCTTTACTATAAAAATCGAGTTTATAAAAATCGCGACTACTACAATCGTCAATACTACAACAATTTGTTTAAGAAATATAATCCTGGCGTAGCCGCTTCAGAGGCACGCATACTCCAACAGGAGAATGAATTGAATTATGATGGCACCTACAAATACTCTTACGAAACGGAGAATGGCATACAAGCCGAGGAGCGTGGTATGCCCGTGAAGTTAGGTACCGAAGAGCAAAAAGAGGTTGTTGAGGGCTCTTACTCGTACGTGACTGCCGATGGCTTACGTGTGATTGTCAAGTACACTGCCGATGAGAATGGTTTTCATCCAACAATAACCTGTAAGCAGCTAATGTTCTAACTGTAATTAGTACGAGTATAACTGTTAATTAATTATTTTCTTTCCCACACAGATGACGGCATTGATGCTGACCGCTACGCACGCGTCCAACAACCTGCCGATACTGTAATTACTCGCCAAAATTAAGTACTTTTGACATGTGTGTCCACACTTTGCATTTACGAACAGTTCGAAGACGATGTTAATGACATCCAAAATACATGAATCTTTAATAAACAGAACATTTTGTTTTAAAAAGAAACTAAGTTTATATAATCTTATTTATTGAGCGGAAATTGAAATTTGTCTACCACGGACATTAAAATGTGTCAGAACCTTCTATGTACTTACCGTATTTTTTAATTAACGAAAGTCGAAATTCAACAAAATCAAAAAAATATCAAATATATCGATGGTGAATGTGAAATACATTTTTAATTTTTATACTCTCGCGACATGTTGCGACAGAGTATTAAAGTTTTGTTGACCTAACGGTTGTTCGTGACTGTATCTCGCATTTTATTGTTATCCGAATGTTTATTCGTACCATAAGAAGGTTGGTAATACAGATGGCCGGAATCGGTTCAATGCCGCATCCACAAAACGCCATTAAATCTATAAATTGTCATAATTAAACTCCACATTTGGATACAAAACTGTTATTCGTGGTTCAGCGAATTGCATTAGGGAGGGGCATGTGTCGTTGTTTTTAAAAAGTGAACATGATCACCCCTAGCAGGTTTAATGTACATATCTTACAAATCACTGGAGCTACGTCTGTCTATATATATGCGAACTAGTAGTTTTGTGATATCGACCTGATATTTTGCACACGTTTCTTTATCACCAAGATTCTGTTCATTGGTCGGAACCACCGATTTCGGCCATACAAACTGAACAATTTGGTATCAAGTGCTTGTATGGAAAACTTTTTATCTTTTTTATCTTCACGAAATTTGACATAAAAAATAAAATAAGAAATTGTTCAGATTGGACAACTATAACATTTAGGTGTCATATTGCACGATTGAACTCAAGTTCTCGTATGGAAAACTTTTTTACAAGTATGATTTAAAAAATGTAGCCGAAATTAACATTTTTTCTTGTTTTAAAACACTTAAGTGACAAATTTCAGAACTTGACTTCAGTTTGAAATGCTTTCTGAAGATATTTCATAAGACATTCATCAAATATTCGCCTATAGTGTTGTATTCAATAAGTTATAATGCGCGAGGAGTTCTGTATTAAACTGATACGCAGATTACTAGTATAAAGAGATCAGAATTGTAAAAATACAAGAGTTCTGCAAGCATATAATTTAGGAACCTAATACTAAGTTGGCAAAACAAAAATATAGCACTTTTATCCAAATAGTGGCTATATCGTCAATAAACTCTCAATAATTCCATAAGCGCCGATCTTCGTGATCTGTTGAGCCATGGAATTACACATCTAATAATTATTAGAAAATTCATATCTCTCAAGGTATTATACGCTATATCACATATTTTAATATATTTCCGATGCTCAGAGCACATCCTACTCACTTACGACAACAGCGGTAAAATATTTGGTGAGATCGCGTTATCATACCGAATCAAAGTCGTGATTGATGGCATTCAGATATGGAAATATCTGTTGCGGAAACTTGTTGGAGAATGACAAGGAAAGGGGAAGGGTCACAAGTAACTTGTGCAGCACGCTTTATGTTATTTTTCGCCTCAGTTCGGTGTTCTTTTATTGGTGAACACAACTTGAATCTCAAATGAATATTTACGATATATTGGTATGATAATATATATAGTTAATATTTTTATATATTTTTTATAAATATGTATAATATAAAAAAATTAATGAATTGTATATAAAATATACTTTCATATCACATAAACGAAGCGTCCAAGAATTTGTGAATTGCCCAATGTTAATACAATAACTTGCCTTGTTTGAACATAGTCCATGTCCAATGTAAGAATGATTGTTGTACCAGAAACGGTGGTGCTTTGTTGAGTTCCATATGACATTCTATTATATTTATAACTTCCGCACACACCATTGAAGTAATTGTAACAAGAGGTGTACATTGGTCATTACATTAAGCAACTTTTACATTGACGCATTTGTTTATTTGTTTCTGTGGCCGCTTTGGGATCTGCCATAGACTTTCTATAGAGTTTAAAAACACTGGCTCAAAATTCTCGGTTTTCGGAAATTTGGATGATGCTTCCTCTCCAAATATTTACACCTCTTAAGTTCGATCAATTCAATGTAACTAACGTTTGCATCGATCGAAATTTAACTCCACCTTAACCATATTTTGCATAAAGTCATAGACAGATGTGTATTATTTTAAAAACTGATGAGTATTTTACAGCTATGCGTGGAAAATCTATTACGTAATTGAACAACTTCCGGTGTTTATGAAAATTATTAGCGCTTTCGTCAAAAAGCTCGGCTTATAAGCTTTGTTGTGTTAAATAGTGCGCCTAAAAGTAGGCTTTGAAACACAGTTACTAACATCTAAGCTGATGGAGCTCATGGAGATGTATGTTTGAACACGTGTTTTGCCAGCTTCTCGTATTTAATCTTCAAACAAGCGCTTCATGTTGTTCCCAAGCTTAGCTTTGCTAGCTTCGCACTTTTTGTTGTTGTTTTCTCACACCCAAATTTTATAGCTGCTATTTTTAATAACGCTTATCGCAATTAGAACCGCTTAACTCGGTCATTTAATTGAATATGAATATTAAGCTATACTTCCATACCATACATGTTATACATATATATGTCTGTATTTCTTTGGAATTAGAGTGTTCAAATTTACTGCCGGCAAAATTTGACATTTAATTTTATAGTTACTGTCATATGACGAATGAAACAGTAAAATTTGTGCTTAGATTTTGGATATTAAAATAAATCATAATTATAAAAAAATTATGGTGGTAGTTATTGAAATGTATATGATAAATTCAAATTCGTGAGAAAGAAGGCCCATTTTTATGATTATTTTTTCGATGAAACTCTTAAAATATATTTTTAGAAGTCAATGTCATACTATATTATAACATTTCTGGAATATTCTATTAAATTTTCCAAAAGAAATATTAAACAAGTAGGGAAGGGCTAACTTCGGGTGTAACCGAACATTTTATACTCTTGCAACTACCAATAATCAAAGCACGGAAGATTTATTCCGGTACTGGCAAGATTTTATAAAAAAAAACTGTTGCGAAAGAATTCAAATTATTCAAAGAAATTGTGAACAAATACAATCAAGTTTGGCATCTTCATGACTTATATTGAATTGAATTATGTATATTGCTATATTTAAGTTCGCGTCAGCTAAAATTTTATTAAAAACATCTCAACTAAGATTTATGTATGTGATATCAACTCGACCAAGAGGTTAAATTTAATATACATTATGATGTGGAAAACGTCAACCAAAGGATCATACTTCATTATAGTAGGGATATAAGCTTAGACCAAGGTATAGGCCAATTCCATTCTAATTCAGCGTTAAACCACATATTGCTGTAGATTGGAATTTAATCTAAAAGAGCCTTGTTTCAATAATTCTATCTGACTATTGCGATTTCATTATATAAATCGAATAGGATGTACCGTTTCCAACTGGTATATGTACGAAGACGTTCTGTTAAGCCTCCAAAAAAGAAACGAAAACGAAAATTTTAAAGAAATGGTAATTTTTTTTTCAACATGGCTACAACAAAGCTACAACAATTTTATATACTTAATGCAGCAACGCTCCTACTTCTTTAAACCGTTTGAAAAATACGTTTTCTAGGGGCCTCAGTAGTAGTAGTGGTTAGTTAAACTGTGAAAGAACACATTTTACTTTTTCTATCGGGATAATATTTCTGCAATACGGCATTGTATCGACTCAATAATTTGCCATAGTAGATCACTTCTCACGAGTCCCGAAAAACAGTGCCTATCTACTTTCCTGGTGGACGGACAGTCATCGCCTGCGTTAGTGAACTTGGATATTCTTCGTGAATGTCTAGAATGACTCCGGAGACATTTGTAGAAGTGGTTCTCACAGGTCTGACTAACTTCTCTTCTAGTGCTCACCACTATATTATAATAAGTTCGAAGAGCTTAAGATTTTGCAATATTAATATTTTTTCAAGCTAAGTATTCACAAACCATACTTTCATAACAACAGTACAGCAAATCAGACATATTTTCTTCACTTAGACTTTATTATGAGGCTTGAAATATTGGAATAATAAATATACATACTATTGCAATCAATATTTCAACAGTACTATTACATGAGCCGAATATTATAAATATTGAAAAATAAAAAAAATATTTATGCACTCACTTATCAGCGCCGAAATTTCGTCCAAAGAATTATTTACATTTGAATGCCCCAATTTTTAGATGATTACACATTTTTTAAAATTCTCTAGATCCTACGACCGTTGCTAATTCAAAAAATAATATAATAACCAGTTTATTTATTTATTTTTGAAAGAAATCGTACAAGTTAATAAAGTAAATACGAAATTACAGTGCGGTGAACTCAATGCACTGATTGTACATTAGAAAAACCAGAAGCACCGAAAAAACAGCGATAACATTTTTTTATAAAAAGAGGGCAGTGCCGAAATAATTTACGACGCAGACTTTGATATTCTTAATAGGTAATATATTTTTTTATAAACAGGGCACTAAAAGTCTCATATTTATTACAAACCTTTTTTGGTGGTTTTTAAATCCTGGAGACTCGCACTAGACAATTATATCTGACACTTTCGCAAGATTAAAAATATACGCAAACCATTATTTGTTAAAAAAAGTAATAAAAAAAGTTGCTGACCAGTTTTATTCCACGCTTCTTTTGAAAGAAATACTAAACATAGAATCAGATAATTTGAACTATTGTACTTGGTTGTAACCAATTTGACTTGAACAAGTGCGAGTAATTGACTTGAGATGGCCGGAATTTTTTCGCTTTACTTTCAATTTTGTTTACTTTAGTAGTGATTCAGAAATTATGTATAATATTTGGTCCTTACACGAAATATCAAAATGTTCATGTAGCGAGATAATTTCATAACATGGTTTTTAATTTTAAATTAAATTAATTGAATTATTTGAAAAATAATAATAAAATTAACAAATTTAATTGAAAAATAAAGTTTGTGGGATAAAAACAAAAACGCAGTGCTACGCAAAATATGTAAATACTTGGGAATTTTGAAACAGAATAAAGATCTTTTTATGCCTTTATTTCTTTAACTGTTATTCATCGGGAATTGTTACCAAAATAGCACTAAGACGCGATGAGATAACTATTTTAAATCCTCACAAGGCGTTGAAAAATAATACCATCGTCTTTGTTTTATTTCATAAAAGTTTTTGTTTTCATTGACCTAAGTAATGAAAATGTTAGAATTTGAAAAAAATCGAACATAAACTATATGTTATAAACTCGGGGTAACCATTAGAGATTCAAAGAAGCAACACAAAAAAGAAGTAAGTCCTGACAATGACTAATATTAGTTTTTATTGAACGAAATATTCTGATTCTGTCTAAATAATATTATTATCAAGGCACTCGCATAATATAATGGCATATCATCTTTATCATCGCCTTCAAAATAGGCGCCTTATTCAACGCAAGCATGAAAACGCATAATCCAATGTACATACTTGTTATAAGCTTCGGATGGGATGGTCTTCAGTGCCTTCAGCGAATGACTTTAATGGATTCATGGGCAATTCCCAAAGCGCATTTTTCAGTTTCAAAAACAAAAAGTTACAGGAAGTGAACGCCGGTATTTCGGCACGAGTCTAGCATTGACACGCTTCGTACCCAAAAAATTAACCAAGGTGTGTTGAGTCTATCCATAAGAGATGTTGAGATACTGATCGTGATCAACACGACGATTTTCAAGCACTGTTTCTTTAACTTTACCTATGTTATCGTCGTTGGCAGAGGTGGATGGATGACTCGTGTTGAATGCTTTGTTCCACTCAAATAATTATATGCGTAATAAAGGAGACTCCCCATAACACTTCTGAAATATTTTTAACGATACCGTAGCCGTGATTACATTGAAAATACAAATTTTCATGTAAACTCGTTGAAATACCTTTAACAAATGTTGCGAAAATGTTCAACTTCATTGTTTGACGAAATGGTGAATGGATTAAAATCAAATTTATATCATATTAACTTATTTTGTTACTCATACACTCAAAATTATACTATTGTAAAATCATTGGGGTCATAGAAATGGAAGGACTGATTGCATTAATTTTTGACATTGCTGACATATTAATTGGAAATAATTTTCATCCAATTTTATAGATATATAATATATAAAATATATAAAGTCAGCCGGACGTTTTAAAATCGTCAATAACAGTTATATGAAGGCCCGATTTTATCCATTTTAGGCACAAAGATACACTGTTTTTAGAAAAACACGCTTTCTAAAATTCATTAAAATAACTAGCACATTGGCTGATATATGTTATATACAATATATGCATATTAGGTATATGGGGCTAAGAAAGTATTGATTTGATTTAAGTCATTTTTGACACAAGCGTTTGTTAATATCAAAAAAACATTTTCCCTGAAATTCAATTATATATATCACAGATTAATTAATATTTGCTTGAATAATTATGATCCGATTTTGACAATTTTTAGACCTGATATGGCATACCTTAAAGGAAATATTCGTACAAATTTTAATCATGATATACTAATTAGTACTTGATTTTAATACAGCAAAGTGAAAAAATCAGATGGAACTTAAAGTTGTCTTATATGTGGTGAAGTAGGCGTGGTTATTGTCCGATTTCGCTAATTTTGGGTAATGTCAAAATAATCTTATGTAACAAATGTGGGTGGTGTAATAGGTTCGGAGATATGTAATCTCACCTAAATGTAGGCGGTGCCACGCCCATCGTCCAGCTTTGACAAAGCCCTTTTCTGTCAGCTCGGTTGTAAAATTTAATGTCTCTGACGTATTGTTGTTGATTTATTGCAGGCTTAGTAGTTTTAACAAAACCGTTATGTGGGGATTGGAAGTGGTTATCATCCTGTTTCACTCATTTCAATGCTGTTGCAATAGATGTCGAAACTATATGTCCTGTGCATTTTTGTTTATATAGCTTAAAAAGTTTGACAGATATATACATTAAACCTATTACGGGGCGGGCTACGCCCACTTTTTAAAATTTTTTTAAACTGCAGATTCCTCTTCCTAATGCAAAACGTTATACCAAAGCACAGTCGTGGCGGTTGTCCGATTACGCCCATATATGAACTCGTCTTCACTTTTTTGCCAAGAAATACTTGTACCAAGTTTCATTAAGATATCTGAATTTCTATTCAAGTTATTGCTTGCACGGACGGCCGGACGGAGAGACGGGCAGTCAGACAGTCACTCGGATTTCAACTCGTATCATCATTCTGAGCATTAATATACATAAATATTTATAACCCTATATCTAACTCGATTAATTTCAGATGATACAAACAACCGTAGAAAGATGTTGCAAGTGTTATAAAAAGCCAACCGAATAATCGGAAGTCCTTTTATTAGGGATATTCGATTTTGACCAAGATCTAGACCAATTTCACAAGTGCGCACTAGAAAGAGACCCTCCCTAAATTCAATTAAGATATCTTAGATATTCAAACTTATCCCAAGTTCCACACATTGCGACATTATTCTAGATTAATCAATATTTTTGCTTTTTGGTTTTTACTCTATATACAATATTAAATTATGCATTTTTGCCTGAGGGTAACCATATACATATATATTTTCGACACGACAATTTATAAGAAATAATTTATTGCATACAGTCAACCATTACTATTAAGTACGAACATATACCACAAATCGCGATGATCTCCGAAGCGAACTTTACCGTAAATATAGTTAATGTGACACCGTTGTTGAACACCTAAATAAAAGCGCAAATAATTTACATAACATACACCAAACGGCACTCACCTTCACCGAACGGCCTCAACATGCGTACAGTTCATTCACTGCAGTCCTGCAAATCATAACTCACGCACACAGGCGCACACTACACACAACAACAACAACAAAAAACTCTACCGGGCGACTATCCAGTGGCTAAGCGCGCGGTTAATGTGCGCGGCTGTAAGCTTAATTAATTCCAACTGTTTTAATGGCGGTTGTTGCGCGCAAATTTATGACATTTCCTGGCGCAAAGCGACGCGCTGCAGACACACACATTCCAAGGCAAATATGTGGAAACACCCGCATAGCGATCGTATGGGTCATGCGATCGATCGGTTCGATATGACTGGTGGACAGACGTGCTCATGCTGATGGACGCAATAACTGTCAACGCCGCGAACGCCAATACTCGGCTGTGTGTGTTATCTACGTGTGGTGTAGTGCTGCACTAACACATGAACGCGCGCTATTTACGAGTATGGTCAACACCGTTGCGTACGCCAATCGTGCGACCTTGAAATTCCTTTTACTCTAGATAATTATAAGAAATATTGAGCGAATCAAGTAAATACACAAACAAAACGCGTGCGTAGTCACGAAATGTAAAAAAATCCTCAACCGACGCAGTGTAGAAGTTGTGAGACACGGCTACAAAATGAAGAAAAGAGTGTAAAAATTAAATATAAAATAGTAAATAACCGGCAATAAGTGGCAATCGTAAATGAGCCAGTCAAATTTATTGTTGCAATTTCGGGTGGGTAAACGACGGCCGCAACGATGACTATGGTACTGCCGGCGACGTTCGTAGTCGATGCTGTGGCTGACGATGACGACTCGATAGGGAAACTCGTAAAACCGTTTTTTATTGCTGAGCGCGCACTTTTTATGTATTTTCTTTGATTTTTCTCTGCTTCAGCGGCGGTGGCTAGCGGCTAAGTGCAGTTAAGTTTAATTAAAAAAGGCGTATTCGTTTTCAATTTGCTAAAGTTTTAATTTGATTTTATTAAAGTTATTTTTTTTTGCGGTTTTTGGTTAAATTTTTATTACATACTTGTATAACACATTTTTATGACTTATTTCTCAGTTTGTTGAGATTACTAATAAATTTATTATAAATAGTTAAATATGAAATTAATTCTTAACATTTGTTATTGTATTTTTTTTGCGTTTTTTACTTTTTGTTTTTGTTTTGTGGGGAATGTTTTTTGTATTTTGTTGCTTTTCAGTGGGGGAAGGGTGTGCTATGTGTATGTGTGTGAGATGCGTGTTGATGTGCGTCTTCCGTGACTTCTTCACTTCCTGGTGCGTACGATGTGACGTCGTCTTTGTTGGCTGTTTGCTGTCGGACAGGTTGCTGCTGTGCTTATGCGCCCACTCCTTGCGGCATTTGATTTGAGCCAACAAGCTTTTTAGATGCTTAATGGCAGTTCATGTTCGTTGATGTGTGTGAAGCGTGAATATTTCGTTTTAACTTAGCGCTAATTTTAGTTCCATTTTTCTTCTTCTTTTACATAATTACATAATTTAAATAATATAAGTATGCAGTAACATTTATTTAAGTAATTACTATAAAAACGAGCCAATCGTTCGTGTTACTTAGTTTATGTGCTGCAATTCGTCTAATTCTCAATTTGTTTTGATCAATTTGTTAAATTTGTTATTGCTATATTTTTCCTTGTTTGTTATTAAATGGCACCTGTTTGCAGCGAACTGCTCGGCTTAGTTGTACTCCTGTGTGTTGCTCTCGGTGGCCGGTTCGTTGTACAACTCGCGTTGGTACTCTTGATATTGCTGATCATATTGTTGCTGCTGCTCATATACTTGCTGTGGCTGTTGGTACTCTTCGACATATTGCTCACGTGGCTGCTCTTGCTCGTATGCCTGTATCATTTGTTGATACTGTTCGACTTCATGTTGCAATTCAATAATTTGTTCGCTGATCTCTTTGGGCATCTCCTCCAAGTGGATGGACTTGATTTTGGCCATGATGTCCTTGGATGACATTTGGTCGATGCGGAAACCGCGCTGATCGAACATGGGCATTTCACCGCGAGATTTGCGCAAATCGTCGACATATTTAAGTGCGCGTGCGATGGCCTCTGGGATTGGTGGTGGTGTGGGAATGTGATCGCCCTTGGGTACGAAACCTTTGTGGTTGCTTTCGTAATGGACGCGGTAAAGCTTGCCATCATCGCCGGTGTATTCGTAGAAGCCCTTAGCGTCGGTGCCGCCGTTTTTGTGCAATTTCGCTTGCTCTTCGCCATAGATGCCGTTCTCAGTCAAGTAACTAGAGAGAGTAATAGAGAGTGATAGTGCATTTTTAAGACAAGAGGATAAAGAGTTAGGTCAGTAAGAGAGTATTAATTCATTAGTGCCCAAAATTGTGAAAGGGAATTTGTAATTTTAAACGAAATATCAATTTAAATCTCAAGCATTCACTTACGAGTGATCGTATTTGTCCTGTTTGCGCGCATCCTCCTGATGCACTACCTTGTATTTGCCCTCCTCATCGTAGTTGAACAATACCGTACGTGGTGTTGTGGTAGTTGTAGTCGTTGTTGTTGTGGTGGTTGTTGTTGTGGGTTTCTTCGTTGTAGTAGTTGTGGACTGCGGGTGTTTTTGTGTGTGTTTTTGGTTTTCGGGTTTTTGTTTTCATGATTTGTTCGTATTTTGTATACAAATGGCAGTGTATTTGTTGTACAAATTGTTGTTGTTGTTGGTGGTTATTCGTATATTGTTGATTTGATTGATGATTGTTGGTGATTTTTTGTTGAAAAAGGGGTGGAATTTTGTAATTGAGTAAATGCGCGTTTAACGGTAATTGAAACTACTACTTTCAAGTGAGTGCGTATATATGTGTGTGTGTGTGTGTGTGTGCATTACATAAATACGTTACTTAGGGTAAGTGTGAGTGGAGCGTGGGGAATTGAAAATTTGTGCATATGTATGTGAGTTAGTGCTCGTGCAAGAGTGTGTGGGGATCAAGTTTTCAAATATATTTTTTCATTTAATAAATTTGAAGCTCAAATGTTAAGACTTTAATGCTGAACTTTTCTGTTAAACTAATTAAGCTATGTTTTTTAAAGTTATTATATTTGTTAATTTTAAAATTTCCAATTAATTATTTTTCAATCTTTCTTCTTCTAAATATTAATTGCAATTCTTTTTAGTTTGGTATTTTTTTTTAATTTTTCTCAATAAAAAAATTAAGAAAATAATCTTTTGTTTTTAATTTTTTTTTTATAAAAAAGTAGGAATACGGTGTTTTTTGTTTTTAAATTAAATGTAAGTTTTCTTATTATTCTTATCAATATCATGTATAAGGTGAGGTATCTCATGAATTTACATTGTTAATATAATACTTTAAATATATTTGATGAGTGATGGATGCGGGATACTGGGATTGTATGTGGATTGTTTGGAGGCGGTGCATTTTTTTGTAATTTTTTATTGCTCTGCATTTGGGGATTGGACGTTGTTTCATCTCCGTTTTTCATTCAATTGAATCAGCGGAGTGATTAACAACAGGATTATCGGTGTTGGGTGTGATGTCGATTTGTGGTTCATGGTCAGGGAAGCCATATTCCAATTTGATTTCAGGAACTTTAAAATCAGCATTACTTACTGTGTAAAGATTGTGACTGTGGAAAATTGCAAAAAATTCAATGAAATAAATTTAAATATATATAAATGTGTTTGTGTGCGTGCTACTTACTCATAGGGCACATCGACATGCATATACGGAATATTGGATCCGTTGTATGGCCCATAACCACCATCATAGGGGTAGGGGATGTGCGTGTATTTGCCAAGTTCTCGATTATCGTGCACGTGACGATATGGCTGCGAACTGTGTATGTAACGTCCTATGTAGAGAAGGGAGATAGCAAAAAATATTTGTTTATCAGATTTAAAATTTTTGTAATTTTTGTTTTTTGCGGATTCATTGAAAGCATTTTTTAAAAGCGTTTGCGTTTGCATGCGTATGTATGTGTTTGGTGGTGTTAGTAGGGGAAATGCCACCGATGTTAGAAGGCAGCGTTTTTAAGTGAGCAGAGTCAAAACGTAAAGTTTTAAGTTAAATTTTAATTTTATTAAATTAGCCGAGAACCAAAAGAGTTAATGAAAAGTAAGACAACCGGTTGCCCACTACTATTGGTTTTAAATTTGATATTTTGTAATGATTTTAATTAGTTTTATTTGTATTTATTTAAATAAAAAATGCCTTGTTTTTGCGGTGGATTTGTATAATGTCTATGCGGAGCTGGGTTTTGGTGTGTGTCTATGGTATTTTTTCGGTATTTTTTTCGAGTTCTTTTTACATGTATCTTTTAATGCTTTTTATGTATTTGCGCAAATATTTATTATAATGAAAAATAGAAAAAATTATCTTTACCCTGAGCATCATAGTAACCGCCTCTTGCGCCTAGAAGTAGATATTCGTGTATTAGAAAAAGTACAAATAACACATGTTTATGCGCACTGAAAGTCAGCCAAAGTCATTATATACAAATATATACCATATATCCAAATTGTATACACACATACTTATATACATGTTGAGTCAATAACATTAACAATAACAACAGTGAGACTGTGCGTATGCGTATGCTATCGACTAAAAAACAAACAAAAATACAGTTACAATGACAGCTTCGGCAATTTATACACAACTGCATACATACATACTATATACACATAGATTTATGCGTGTGTTATATGTGTCAGTGTTTTATCGTGTGAATCGTTCTTGGTAAGTTGACGGTTAAATCATATTATATTCTATGGATTTAGTGCTTGCTATGCGCCGATGTTTTAGGTTTTTCTTTGTTATTTTTTTTGTAGTTTTTTCACTACTTCTGCGCTTAGCTAAAAAGTTTATAATAACTTATTTGTATTAGTAAAGTGGTTTAGTGTTACAGAAATTAGTTCAAGTTAGCTTTGTTTTCATTCTTTGTTGATTTCTTGCTTTGTTTTGTTTGGTTAATTTGTGTAAGTACTAGTTACTTGTGGTAAATATAACAACAACTACTATAGCAGCATATTACAAAAGTGCAACACTACAAGTACATTGAAGGAAAGAGTTAACGTTTGGTAAACGTTCTGAAACTGAAGGAATTACCTTCGTCGCGAGAACTTGGACGATATTTGCCATCATTGCTTGGACGATATTTGCCATCATTTTTATTATCTACCGAATTCTGATACTTGCCATTTTCGTTGTCACCGACCGGTAAGGCGGTGCTGAGCGCAACGCCAGCCTGAAAAGAGAGGGGTGGGAGAAGTATTTTATTAGAAATGTTTGTGTGAAATTAATTATTATATTTTATATAATACTGTTTTAGGTGTAAAGGGTTACACATTTCGTGTTTTATTTATTTTTTTGTAGTGAAAATCAAAAAAAAAAAAAAAAAATAAATACTTATTTTAGTGTAGTCACATTTTTTATAAACAAATTAGAGTTCGAGTAATTAGTTCTGACAAAATTGATGGTAGAAACGTACACTCTGTGACAAAATCTTTAGATTATATTAACATAAAGATTTTATGATTTTTGTTTTTTTCTACTTCAATCTTTACTAGCTTCAAATAATATTTTAATACAGTTAAGTGACTCTGAAGTTTCAAAACAAAAAATTGTAGAAATTTTCGAATTCAAGCACAATTTAAACTGAAATATGAAACCAAGCAATAAAGTGTAAGTAATTCGAGAATAATTTTTTGACAGGTAAATTATTAAATTTATAATGCATATTTATAACCAAAATAAAAAATATATAGTTTTTGCCAAAAAAAATATTTAATTGTGCATTTTTTAACAAAAACTGTATAAAATTGTTTGCCTATGAAAATGGTTTTGGATTATCAATATTAATATGATAATAATAATTATAATATTTTGGCTAAAAACATGTACATTTTTTTTAATCAAAATATATTACTTTGGTCTATTAAAAATTAAATTTTTATAACACAAATTTCAAAATTTATATAAAATATATAGTAATAATCTATTAAAATTTGAAATTTTTAACAAAACTACAAATAAAAATAAAATATAAGAAAGATAAAAAGTTAAGATATATAATTTTTTGTCTAAGAAAACTTCAAACAAGTAAAATCAAAAAATTTGTATTCTTTACTGCAATTTCTACTTTTATGAATTGGAAAAAATAAATAAATTTTAGCCTGCAAATTTTGTATGCTCTATTTTCATAAATTGAATAATTATATAATAGCTATTCAATTTCAGACAAGTGTTTTTTTCCCGATCTAAATTTTAGCGTTTTGGAAATTTCATATTTCTTTCGTTTAATAAAAAAAAAATTTAACGCTCAGATATAAGTGTTTGCTATTTTGATACGCTTAAAATTGGCGCGTTCAATTTCATTTAATTTAATTTATTTATATACTCATTTGTATATATAAAATTAAACACATAATCACATCATCGAAAACACAAGTCTCCTAAATTTGCTTAGCAAAAACGCGAGCAATGCATAAATTCAAAAGCTAACTACACGCATGCCAGCGCGCCTAACAACAAAACCAAAATAGCCAAACAAACAGTTCAATGCACAAACATTTTTTCGGTTATACAAGTATTTGGCAAAACAATAAATTTCGTGCTAATGAATCATTAGAAGCTGCTGTGGCAGCAAAAAGCAGAAAATTTGGTCATTTCTTGTTTGCGCCAAAAAATATCAATACAAAAAGCTGTAATAAATTTCGGACAAGCAGCAAAGAGCAATATTAAAAGAAGTATTGCAAACAAAAAAAAATAAAAAATATTAATAAAAGAAAAAAAATCGATTAAATTAAAAACTCCAAAATAAGTATTTTTAGCACTTCAGTAAATTGCTATTAATTAAAAAAAGCAGCCGACTTTGGTTAGTGGCGTACACGCAGACGTTTTTGGGTGTGTTGCATAGACAGCCAGCAGCGATGGCGGCAGCGGTCTCATCTATTGCTTAAGCAACTAACACTGCAGGCCTCACAACAAGTATACACGTATGTGCGTGTGTGTGTGCGTGTTGGGAAAAATATGAGCGCGCACCATTTAGAATGATTGATTGTGTAAATTTGCTTTGCTCGTACATTTATTTTGAGTGTGTATGTGTGTGTCTTTTATGCGCCTTAAAGCAAGTTCAAAGCTGTGGAATTGTAAAGGTCGCATTCTAACGGTGACACACACACTCCTCTCTGCTTTGTTATACTTTTGTAGTTGTTTCGATTGGGTTGCATCACAGCCGTTAGCTGATTGCAAAAATTCAATTAACATTTACTGTTATGAAGGTTCTTTTGCCAAAAGCAAAAACGGAAGAAATCCAAAAAAAAAGCGCAAAAAGCTGCGCTCAAGTGCGTTGAACTGCCAATTTGCGCTATTTGTTGTTATTTATTTTGACATTTGCAACAATAATAAGCGAGAAAAGTAAGCAGCAGTCGGAATGAGCAATTGCAAACAATGCAAAAATAATTGCCGTTGTGTATTACAAGCAGCCGCAACACACCTTACCAGCCAATTATTTATGCACTTGATCTGATGCTTCAGATGCCATTGCAAATGCTAATCTTCAACGCCCATAAACCAGCCAAGTTTACTGGTGCGCTGCAAGTGGGGGCACATATTTGCCATATTTGCCATATTTTCACATTTCTTCATTGCCTTACTCACACATACACATATATTGTATATAGCTATAATAGTTTGCATTCAGGCGCCGACGCACTGGCGCTCACGTCGTATGAGTAACTTTTGTGCACTCTTTCTCTGGTTTTTCATCATCACCATGCCCCTCACTTGCACTACACTTTTGTTTTTGCTTCAAGTTCACTGCGTTTGCCTTTTGCTCTTACTTCATGTTTATTTATGTTTTTTTAGTGTTTTTAACAATTGGTCTTCCAACAATTTCATCGGTTTGCTTTTACTCACCACAATCGTTGCGAATAAGATCACTTTGGTATGCATTTTGTTACAAATTTTTGTTGTTGAAAAATTCTTTAAAATATACACCAATTCACACTTCACTAACACACAGTTATATACACTATATGTTTGTTGTTGGTTTTGTTTGTTGTTTGTTTCACTTGGTTGTGGCGGCTGTGGTAATCCTTAGGCTTTGCTGGCTGCAACAGGAATGTGTGCTTACCGTTCGAGTTCGGCTCGTTTATATACGAAAGTGTAGCGTTCGCGTAGCGCTGATATGCGACGTCAGGCGTTGATTTGAAAACGTCTGCTTTTGTTGATCTCAATATTCAAGTTGTCGTTGTTGTTGTTGTCAGTTGGCGTACTCAGCGTCACAGCGCTCACTCAATACATAGAGTTTAATTATTGTTTGCTGTTGTTGTTGCTGTTGATATTGTGTATTTGTTTCAGATTAAATTGTAATTTACTCTTGCTTGTTGTTGTTGTTGTTGTACTTTTTGATTATTGCTTAAAATTTCCGAAATTCGCTCAACGCCACACTTCGGCAATGCTTTGATCGGTTGTATGTTGTTGTTGTTGCTATATTCTGGTAATATATTTGTTATATATAATATTTTATGCCTTTATTTAACTTAGTGTGCACTGTTTAGTATAATTCGCGTGATTTGAAATTAAGCAAATTAATGCGTAGGCTTTTGGTTGTGTGTGTGTATGAGCTTGAGAATTTGACATTTTGTGGGTGAAAATACTTTTAATCGCTTTTCGAGTTCAATACTCCTGGTGTGTCATTTTACTTAGCTACTTAGTCATTATGAACTTTTCATCACTTGAAATAAAATATTTTCTAAGAAAGGTGACTTATATGGTGTGATGAAATTACTTACAATGAGTTCATCAAAGTATAGTCCTGTCAAAGTTTTAGGGATGCTTAACGCTAGCAGACAAATAATTGAAAGTATCTGTATAGAAATGAGTAATGCTTATGTTATAACTCTTCGACGCATGGACTTCTTCTCCATGAAATTTCACAAAAAAGTTATTGTTCAGTTTGCAGAGTTTATAATTCTGTATTTTACGTATGAAAGTAATAATAATAAATGCTAATTTTAATGAAATTTTTCTATTTTGTGAATTAATATATTTCTCAATAACATTTTTATTTATTTTTTTGTCTTTGAATTTTTGGTTTATTTAGTATTTATTTTTAGTTTATCTATTTAGCTTTTTTGAAAAATTTCTTTACATACAACATTTGGTTTACGATTTTCTTGGGTTGAAACAATAACAATATTGACATTCATTGCACGTAAAACAGCTACGTATTATAGATTAGGTAGCATAGAAAGCCGTAGAAAAAAATTATAAAACAAAAATTTTAAAACATTACTTAATTTTTTTTAAATTAAAACAAAAAATCAAAGAAAAAACTAAAGTGTCCTAAGATACTCCCAATTACATCAGCTATATGCCTGTGGAAGTCTCATCAAAATCGGCATATTTTCTCGACAAATAGTAGCTAGTGTTGGTTGTAGCCATTCAACTATTGTTTGTCTTTTACAACAAAAAAAGAGAATAGTGATATGCTGGAGCGTAAAAAAGGATGAGGTCGTCCTTGAAAGTCAACTGAGAGAACAGACAACTTACTGCGGCGGATAAGTTTAAGCGGCCACTTTAAAAGTGCAATTTCTATAAGGGCGGAGATGCAAAATTTTCACCAAGTGGATTTGAGTGTCAAAACCATCCGCCGACGAGGGTTTATATGGAAGACGCCCTGACAAAAATCCATTATTAACACAAAAAATGAAGACTGCACGACTTTCTTGGGCTAAAAACTACCAAAATTGGGATCGAAACGATTAGCAACAGATTATGTGGTCTGACATAAGCAAATTTAATTTGCTAAGCTCACAAAATTTGCTTTACGTGCGCCGTTCAGGTGATGAGAGGTTTCAGGATAATTGTTTAGTTAAGAAAGTTTAGTTTCCCCAAAGTCAAATGATTTGGAGCTGCTTTTTATTTAGACCTATTCAGGTCGTATTTTTATTTTTAGTTGGCCAATACATTTAACGATCTAGGGGTACAATGCTTGTATTGCCCTGTAAACTCGCCCTATTTAAACCCTATTGAGCACTTATGGCACATAATGAAGTGTGAAGTTGCTAAACAGAAGTCAACCAATAAAATTCAATTGATAAAGATTTTTGAACTGGTTTGGCATCGTCCCGTTATCAGGAAATCAATTCAAGAATAAAGCTGACAGAGGAACGACTCGATATTAGTAGAGCCTGTTGCGTAGTCTATATTTCTACCGCTGGTGATGGAAATGATTTAGTTGCTTTAAAAAAACTTTACATTGTTTTCTTTTAGCTAATCCTGAATATTATGTGTCAATGTACATTTTGTTTTACATTTTTTTAATTTTATTGGTTATTCCATATAAAAGCCATTTTCGGGAAAACTTTTTGTGGCTAAATAATTTACACTTTGTAGCCAAACAAATAAAAATGGCTCTATTATTATAACTTTATAAACAAATTGCTCTGGGGATCTTATTTCAATTATATTTGCTGGTGCCTTATTATTGACCGCAAGTGTATATCTTTTCTAACATCGGACTGGAGGGAGTATATTTCTGTTATTACTACAAAGAAATATATGTAGGTACATATTTATAGTCATATCTTTTTGTTTTTGTGATTTCATTTACACTTTTATCAAAACAAAAACCGTTATAATGTCTTGATGTAAAGCTAATGACGTACCTTGAAAAAGAACATTTCGAATTCTGATACAGGTAGCCGCCGTTTTGTATAAAGATGCAATTTAGAAAATAAATTGAAGTTAAAACAACTTTCTTTTCTATTAAATTTGTTCCAAATTACATGCTTTAAAATACTCTGTCAATATTCCCCATAAAGAAATGATGTTGTAAATCTGATGGCAACGTTTATTGTAGGCTTTTCGCATATACGCAATAAAATTCTGGCTCGTCTGGCGGCTGTGTTTAGTAAACGATGTGTGCTTCTCAACATAACTACATCCTTCGGTAGTCTTACTAAAAGGAGAATTTTGTTGTTCATCACCTCCATGTATCGTACTTCTACTGATCTATATCGATTTTAAATCAATAATTATTATATGGGTAATATTGGATTTTCTAAAGGACTTTTTGTAATAATCGGCTCTTGCGCCTTCTGAATTTTGTAAAGATTACTTCTGTGGCCTTTCAATATACTTTACGTATATTTGTACATATATATAAACAATTTGGATAGAGAATGGATGTAATTCCGAATATAAACTTTATTTATAAATAATTATAGAATATTATAAAACATTTCAATACATTAACTCCATTGTAACTCAATTTATCTTACAAAAATTAACAGTTAATATCTATTAGAACTAAACTGGTATTTAACTTCTTATATGGCACGTTTCCTTCAAACTATGTGTTGAATTTTAAATTTGGTAGTAACAACCACGAATACATAGGAAGAATATTGATATTTGATATTGACAGTGATTTAATAATTTTTGCTGATGTATCAGAATAATTTTGGCCTCATGATTGAATGAATATTATTTCATTTATCATCCCAGTCCAACAGCATCTCAGAACGTTATATGTATTTTCAAAAAAATCTTTCATTAAAAAATGTAAGTGTTTGCTAATTGACTTAATTAAGGATTGCCCGAAAAGTTTATAAAATTTGCTGCGCTGAAGGCATTATTCTTTTTAAAATGTGTTTATAGACTTCTAATACCGTTTATTTTTGTTTCCTTAATCATTTATAACTATTGGAAACCTAACTACTTTTTCGACAATTATAATTCTGACGAATTGAATATCATTATTTATTTGAACTTTTATGCATGGATTGGCAAGCTTTTCCGAAAGCCAGTCCCATATAACAAAATATATTTTCGGCTTCACTAACGGTAAATATGATTTTCGTCTACATAATAGTCGGCAGACATCAAAGAGTAGAAACTCAATATAATTTTTATATTAATAATTAAACAAAAAGCTAACTGTTATTGGTAAATAGGCGAAACTCGTTAGTTCTTTTGTTTTTAATTCTTATAGATTTAATATAACATAATCGGTTATAATGAAATTCCGATGAAATACCTTACTAAGCGTTCTTGCTTCGGTAATGATGAGAGGATCAAAATATCTATCTTTAGGCGACTTAAATATATTATAATAATAACCTTACTATTACCCTCCTGTCACCCAACCGATGCTCGGGGCACAATACGCATACGTGCGGAATTAGCTGAGTCATGAAAGTCAAGGAAGTTGTTTAAGCGTCAATATCTAAAACTACAGAAAGGAAAATTTCAATAGATTTAAAATTACGTTATAATAAAATTTTGTTTATTAAGACAAAATAACATAGTTTTTTGAAGTGTGAGTCAGGTAATTCAAATAAGTAGGAATAAGAATTAATATAATGATATATGCTGCGAAATAGTTTATTTAGTTGAAAATTTGACTTCCAAGATTGTAACAATAAGTGTCTAAACTACCTCGTTAAGCGAGTCGGAATATTAAAGATAACTTTAGACAAGAGAAAAGAACTATAATCTGATTCATTCAGAAATTTCACAAAAAAATACTATGCCAAGCATTTCCCTACGACTTGTGAGTATATTTAGATTTAGAAGTTTTATTTAGTGTATGGATAAAGACCTAACCTAGAATCCTATCGAGGATGCCCTAAGGAAAACAGAAATAGTTTGTTTTGGAATGGACTTTAACTTGTCAGAATGACTTTGGTGACTAGGGTTCCATAGTACAGAGCCATATTCCAATATAGATCTAATCAAATTTGTAAAAAGAGTTTTAGCAACTTATGTATACGGATCTCTATATTCTTTGGACGATCGTTTAGCAAAACTAAGAGCCTCTTTAGCTTTCAAAGTTTTAGCTTTCGTTGTATTGTAATGATGTAATGATGACTAACAACACTAAACTTAGGGTTTCATAGCAACTTCTAAATTAAAAAAGTTAAATACTTGCTCTAGACTTTAGTTTTTAATTACACAGGGAATATCATATGAGGAATAAGTTTAACATTACGAGAAGTTAATGCTCAGCTGAGGAACGATAAGGTGGACATCAACTTAAAGGTTCCATGAGAAAACGAACCAAATATAAGCATGTTAATCTTAATATTTGTCAATTTTTCTAGACGTAAAAAC